TGAAGATTGACAGCCTTGGAGACCCTGTGGGCAGTTCCACTCTGTCCTCTAGGGGCGCTGTGGGTCAGAATGGACTGGACAGCAATGGTGGCTGTTGTTGGTTTTCTCTTCATAGGAAGTGCTGCACTTTCTCCAGGACTCACATTTCTGGAAGCTTCCCTGACTCTCACAAGCTATGGGGATTCCCTGCCACCCACGGCTGTCTCCACTATCAGCTTTTTCTTCCTGGTGTGAATGTCTGTGACTCTCTCCTCCATAAGAGCAGCCCCACCCCCACCACGGAACTGCCTGCATCTGCCCATGGCCTCCTAGGCCACAGCAGGACCTGGCTTACCTGACATCTCGGGGGAAATAGGTGTTTAATGAGTGAGTGAATAAATGGACCATAGGAAGGTCACTGTGATACAAAGAACCCGGGAGCAATTATAGCATCACCTCCTTCTCTGAGAAGTCCTTCGGATCACCTTCCCCCTAACTGGGTTAGTGACTTGTCCACACTCCTCCGGTGCCCAGGGCTGAAGACCAACACTAGCTGCCATCCAGTTCCTTCCAACTCGTGGCAACCCCTGTGTGCAGCCAGCTGCCTTGACCTCAGCTCATCAATCATCCTGGATTTTAATTATCTGTGGTTGTGCCCCTCTCTTGGGTGGGTGCTGCTTGAGGGTAGGGAAGGGGTTGGATTCACCTCAGCAAGCAACCACACCCACTGCCATGGAGTCCATTCTGACCCACAGCGCCCCTAGAGGACAGAGTGGAACTGCACCACAGGGTCTCCAAGGCTGTCAATCTTCACAGAGGCTGACTGCCACAACTTTTCCCACAGAGCTGCTGGTGGGTTCAAACCACCGACCGAGTGCAGTAACCACTGCACCACCAGAACTCCTTTCAGCCAGCCTAGAACCTAATGTAAAGTACATGGTCAACCAATGTGCCCCACACCGAAGGCAGAAATCAGAGAAGGCAGAAATGGAGAGATAATAATGATACTACCTCCGTTCGAGGTCTCAGCTCTACTCACCTCATACAGTTCCAAAGGATAGTTACAGGCCTGGGAGAGAAGAAACCCAGAGTCAGGGCTCCCCAAGACAGCCGGGATAGGAGTCCACACTACTCCCTCTCCCCAAATCATGAGATGGATAGGAACTACAATTCCCATCAGGCCCTGGGGCTACAGTCCCCTGGAAGAGCTGGGGAAGGAGCGCCAGGTTCTCCTGGGAATTGTAGTCCCAGGCCTAGTGAGTCCCATTGGGTGATGGGAGGGACCGGCTCTGAGCTTTGGGGGGCTTGGCTACGAGCCCCAGGGGAAGCCTGGGTCCGGGTACCTCAAACTTCTGGAGGAGGCTACAGTTGTCAGCATCAGCCACCGGCACATTGTAATATTCGCCCTCCTCCTGGTTCAATAACTTGTACCTAACACGCAGACGGAGACCAGAGTAGGGAAAGGAGGGGCAGGGGTGGGTGGGGATGGGGGGCGGTGGGAGGGGCAGAGACATCCCCAAAGGGGAGAGAGACACACACAGAGCGATAGACACAGATGGAGAGAGAGGAAGAGTGAGATAAGGGGAGAGGAAGGGAGCAGAGAGCCCCAGCAGGGGGCGGAGAGCACAGGAGAGGAGACAGGTGGAGGGAGAGAGAGGGAGGGCGGAGGAGGAGGGGAGCGGAGGGAGGGGCGGGCCGAAGGGGAGGGGCTACGGCAGGGAGGCCTGGCGGAGAGGAGGCCACGCCCAGGGGAGGGGACTCCCGAGGCCCCGCCCCAGCCCCGCCCTCACCAGCCGTCCACCGGCGCCTTGAGCAGCTCCGACACCCCGAAGGACATGGCCCCCATGAAGTCGTTGCGGGAGGTGCGGTCCCAGTCCCACACCTCCACGCTGAGCCGGCGCTCCACGTCCTCCGGCTTCAGGTTGCTGCGGGAAAGAGGGGCGCAGTGAGGGGCCGTGGCTCCCCCACTTCTCCATCTAGGAGCTGGGGCCCTCGGCCTGCGTTGCCTGCTCTGTAAAGGGCCTCCCCCACCTGGGTTCCTTCCACAAGGGGGTCCCTTTCCCTCTGTGGGGGTACCCTGAAGGAAACCTAGAGAGCTCCCACCCCTCACGCCGTGTCTTCTCCTCTCCTCCTCCAGGTCTCTCCCTCCGGGTCTCTGACCTGCATTTGTGTCATTTGGCCCCTCTCTCTGTCCTACTCACCCTCCCCACCACGCCCAGAAAGCCCTTTCCCCACAGCGCCCCCCCACACACACACACACCCTCTGTGTCTCTCTGGGTTTGTGACTTTTCTAAGATGTTCTCCTTCCTCAGTTTGGGTCTCTGTCCCCTTCTCTCTTCATTGTCCTTGGGTGATCGCCTTTGGCTGTGTGGCCATCTCTCTTTCTTTCTGCACCACCCCCACATCCACTTCTCTTTCCTGCTCTGGGCTCTTTCTTGGGGTCCCTTTGTTCTCTCTGGGTCCACTTCTCCTGTGTCTCTCTGACCCTCTCCCCACAGTGTACACACCTCTGTGTGTCTCTCTGTGCTCCTACTCTGAACCTGCGTGTGCATGTGTGTGTGTGTGTGTGTGTGTTTTGATGGCCCAAGGTCTTGCAAAGCAGCCTTAGTGGCCCAGAATTAAGCACTTGACTGCAACCAATGTGGCCAGCTGCCACATCTTTCTCCCATAGACAGGGCTGGTGGTGGGTTGAAACAGGGACCTTCAGCTTCACAGCCCAGCACTTTAACCGCTGCGCCACCAGAGCTCCTCCTTCCGTAATGACTATAGGCCAAGAAACCCTCTGGGGCAATTTCCACTCTGTCCTCTAGGGGCGCTATGACTCAGAACGGACTTCTCAGCAGTGGGTGTGGTTTGGGCTTTGCTTCTGTGAAGATTGACAGCCTTGGAGACCCAGTGGGGCAGTTCCACTCTCCCAAACCACTCCACGGCAATGAGTTTGGTTTTGGGGGCTCTCCCTCCAGAGATCTCAGTCTCCCTCTCCCTCTGCCTGTCTCTGAGTCCCTCACTTTCTGTCTCTTCCCTATCTTTCTGCTTCTCTCTCTCTCTGTCTGTCTCCACGTCTCTCTCTCGCTCTCTGTCTCTCGCTCTCTTTCAGGGTCTCTGCCCCCCTGGAAGACAGTCTCCATCTTTGTGTCTCTGTGCCCTCACCCCATGCGGTGCCTGCTTCTCAGGGCTCTTATCTGCCCCTCCCCCTCCTTTCCCTCCCCCTCCCCCCTTGCAACTCTCTGTCCCTTTGGCCCCTTCCTCTAGATCACTTGTCCTCTTTCTCTTGCCTCTCCCTCTGGGGTCCCCTCTGCCTGCCCCCATCCAGGTGTCTCTCTGGATCCTCTCGGGCCCCATCCCCTCTGAGTCTGTCTGTCTGTCTCTGTCTCTGGGTCTCTGGTCCCAACCCCACCCTGAAGTCAGCTGTTTGGTGGTGGACCCTGCAAAAGCTGGAACCGGTGTGAGGTGGAAGCCTGTCAGAGGACTGCTCCAGTATCTTCCACTCAAATGAAACCAGGAAGACTGCACCCTGTCAGAGGCTGAGAACCAGTGAGACCCGGAAAAACGAGACAGTCCTGTCACTGAATTCCAGCTCTCCCAGGCTTCACTTGATGACTGTTACCACTACCCCCAAGCTTACGAACACTTGGAGGCCAAGCAGTCTTCGTAACCATGTCTCCAGTGCGATGGGCTTTGAAGGATGTTAAATATGCAAATGACTCTCTTGGCTTCTGTATCCCTCTCCCTCAATCACTCTATTCCCCCCCCCCAACTTATTCTGCCTTTTAATAATAATAATTATTATTATTATTTTATCCCCTCTAGCCTAACACCTCCCACCAGCTGCTGCCTAGGGGCTTGTGGGCCACCAAGACCCTCAGATCATTCTCATCTCAGCCACCCCTGCACCCGAGGCTTACAACACGAAGGTCTCGTTCCACACGGGGTTTAGTGTGGCTTTCACCGTCCGGGTCTTCTGTTTGGTCAGGTTCCGAGGGTCCGGGATAAGCTTCAGTTTCACGTAGGGATCTGACAGACCGTTGGGGTCCATTGGAATGAGGTTACGGGCCTCGCCAACTGAGGGGAGAGGAGACGGGGGCCGAGCGGGTTAGCCCTTTCTCCAATCAGGAAACAAAAATTCTATCTTCTTCCTCATGAGCCAGGCATCCTAACCCCCTCCCTGCCTTCTCCCCAGCCAAGGACCCAGGAGTTCTAGTCCCCATCTCTTACCTTCTGGTACCCAGAAGACAGGGCATACAGAAATCAAACCCACATTAAAAAAA